AGGTATACTAGGCTCCTTGTACTAGGCAGAGAGGTGGTGCTTGCTAGAGAAGATAATAAAGGGTGGGATAGACCAGCCCTTCGCGCAGATGCCTTAGATAATGCTAGTCCACTCTTAGTTGCCCTGCTGCACTGCCTTTGGTCTCCCTTAACGCTTAGAGCCTGTAACAATAGCTCCTGTTAATATAACACCTATTATAAAGCTAGATTTATTAAAGTTGTAGGTGTCTTTATCTTGTATACTATACTTAGCTTTAGTATTCTCTACTAGCTAGAACTAGTCCCTAATTACCTTAGGATCCTTATATAGATCTCTCTTATAGTTGTACTTGCAATTAAATTTAACTTTAAGCTCTAGCTGACGTTTAACAAAGTTGGCAGCCTAGTTCTTGCTAACGTAGGGCTGGTGTGTAAAGTTATAAGACTTTGTTCTAATAATCTTTCTCTAGCATATTTCCTTCTTAGGTATAGTACTATGCTTACCTAAGCATTGTTATTGTAATCTCTAAGAAGAGAGGATTAGAATGGTGTGCTTACAAAGCCTATATCTCATCTTGTTCTTAAGATATGCTGTTCTCTATTTATAGTAACTAGAGATGTTCTAGACCCTCTGCTTACAAATAGAGTAGCCTACTCTGTAAGATGCTGACGTATATAATTACACATGCACCTACGTAATCTTGCTTGCATATACAGCAATACTAAGCATAGATTACAAAGTAGACCTACCTAAAGGAGTCTAGAATGTTCTGCTTAGAAATATAGACAGAGGAGAGGAAGCATAAATACCTCTAGCTCTCCCCCCTCTGTTTGCTCTTTACCTAGCCTAGGAATCTCTACCTAGTATCTAATATAATAACCTGTCTATTATATTACATAACCCTACCTTACCTCTATTAGGCTATACGCTTCCTATTTAGACAAAGCTAGTCTAGATTTGTCTAGGTCCTTCTAGACTAGGAAGAAAGTAGTCTAGTCCTTCCCCTACTTTCTTTACATGGTGGCGCTCAGCAAGTAGAGAATTGGCCATATCCTCTACATCAGCAAGCTGGGGCGAGTATCCTCGCTTGTCTAGCCTCAACACGTGCTGGACAATTACCTCCTCTTTGTTCTTTGTAAGATTTATAGTATTAGGTGTGTAGTCGCAGTGTGGGGTGGCTCTAGTAAGTTGGTCACTAAGCGTGCTTTGAGAGACGTTGTAGATTGCTGCAGCGCGTCGCTGAGAGAGCGTCGCGTCTTGTTGGATAGCCTGGAGAGCAAGCTGTATGTCTGCTTCATTAGAGAGCTTTTTTATGTTGCTGCGTTGATGCATTGTTAGTAGAGTGAAGTTTGGTGTGGTCTTGGCAAAAGTGACCGGTACACTTGGGTGACCGGCATGCTTGTGGAGTACGTTATAGCAAGCTGTACATCAGCTTTAGTATAGAGTGTAGGATCTTGTTGTGGTTAAGACATTACGCGCTGTTGTTGCGCCGGCGTTCTGGCAGCGAGAGTGCGGCGCTCGCTTGGGTGCGGCGCTCGCTTGTGAAACACGTTATACTAGACAATTATCTGCTCCTCTAGTATAGTAAGTTTCTAGCAATTAGCGTGTATGTCTAGTTAAAACGTAATATTGCAAAGGCAATTAGAGACCTACTAATAAGGTACGTTTAACGCTCTAGCAGCGCTGTAGATACTGCGAAATTAGCTAGCATAGAAGGCCTAGATAGTAAGGATAACTCTGCCTTCTTTAGTAGTAACGTAGATTATCACCGAGCTGGCCATATCA